TCTCTCTCTCTCTCTCTCTCTCTCTCTCTCTCTCTCTCTCAGAATGTGTCGTGTTAGTCTCTCTACTATATAACAAGGAGCCGTTTTGTGTATGTATCATGATACTGTTTGAGAAGTGTCCTTAGGGAACAGTATAATGATTCTTGAATAAATGATTCTTTATTACCAGTCTTAGAATTTTCATTGGACAGCAGATTTTTGTCATTTTGTTTTTTTTTTTTTAAATTTAGCTACAGAAATTTTAATAAACAAGATAACATGGATAATCAGTTAATATTATACTATTCTGTTTGTATAATGTCACTTTTCTTGCAGTCTCTTGTTTATTCTTTAGTTTCTAATAATTTTTTACTTTTTTAATAATTGGTTTATATTTCTTAAGTGGTGTGCTTTCTTTTCCCCTCTTCAGGAAGGTTCCACCCATGATCGTGGTTTATATGCTCGTAGTTTTGAAGAGCTATTTGATCTTGCTAACTCAGAGTCAACTTCTACATCTCGATTCAATTTCTCTGTTACAGTTTTTGAGCTCTACAATGAACAGGTTCTTTTCTTTTCCATCTATACTTTGTCTGTTGATTGTTTTAATATTCTATTGTTTTTAGTTCTTGTTGGTTGAATCTATTTAAATTTTTTTTTTCTTGTTGGTTGAATCATAATCTTGTAGATCTTTTATATTTTTCATAGATCAGGGATTTGCTTTCAGAATCTGGGAGCAGTTTACCAAAGGTCCACATGGGATTGCCAGAATATCTTATAGAACTTGTGCAGGAGAAAGTTGATAATCCATTGGACTTCTCAAGAAGTTTGAAATATGCACTTCAGAATCGGGGAAATGATTTATTGAAGTTTAAAGTTTCTCATTTGTATGGCCTCATTCTCTATCTTTAAAGTTTCTACCCCTTTAACGACTGCTTGTTTTGACAAATAATAGTTATAGAAAATATGGTTAAATGTATGAGAAGCATGGTTGCTTCATGTGTTCATACAAGAACGTTTAATGTATTCAATTGACTTTAATCATACAAATGATGATCCCCAGTTACATTCATTCTATTGTCTTGTTGTTACCAAACAGCCTTTTCTTGTATACTCAGGTTTATTGTATGTTTGAGTTAGTCTGAAATTGGAATTAGTCGACTGATAACTCCTTGAATATATGGTGAAACTAGAATGCTGGTCTGTTTTGAATAGTAAGATTTAGTTCGATAATAACAGTGCACCCTATTGTCATACCAGAAAAAGAAAGAATTAAAAAAATTTCTAAAAAATCAGATGGTTTAACTTGTCAGAAGAAATATGTTTGAGAGGTATTTGATTTGACTGTGAAATGCAACTTATATGTGGTGCATTTTGATCGTTATGTAACTGTGGCATGGTATAATACTGGTGTGCAAGTTGTGTCTCCATGCTTGCTTTCTGTTATCAAGTTCTACTCTATGATTCAATGGTGTGGGATCACTTGTCTTGCTGTTATCAGGATTATCACAATACACATATGCTATAACAATGTGATCACTGGAGAAAACTCCTACAGCAAACTTTCTCTTGTTGACTTGGCTGGAAGTGAAGGTTTGATAACAGAAGACGATAGTGGGGAGCGTGTGACAGACTTGCTGCATGTCATGAAATCACTTTCAGCGTAATGTCATGCTATTCATTTTCCCTTTTTTTCTTTAGTGTTAATTTGCTGTTTTATTATCAAGCACAATTTGGTATTTCTCTGAAAACTGTGGTTACCAGCATTGCACTTTCCATTTATGGGATTCCATGGTTTTTCTTTCCATTTTTTTGGCTTTCTACTATGGCCGTCCTATGCAGTTTTCTAATTGTCTTTTATGTTGAATATGTAGGCTGGGAGATGTTTTATCATCATTGACTTCAAGAAAGGATGTTGTTCCATATGAAAATTCCATGCTCACAAAAGTACTTGCAGACTCACTAGGTTCTAATTCTGTCTCTCTTGTGCCGATAACAAATATATTTTTTTTTGTCCTTGAGGTCTAGGGGCAATTTTCTAATCTTACCAAAATGGCATAATGAATATTATGTTGTTACGCATATCTCCTATTTTGAACTTCAAATAACTCCTTAATGTTTGTTCCATCTTGTTCTCATGTATACAGTTGCTACCAGATGATGCTAACATACTAATGTTAAATTTGTTGAATAAAAATGCCACATGAGTTTGTGAGAAGTTTTTGCTGGGTTGCTAGTCATTTTGGTCTTTTAAATGATTAGGGCTCTTCTCTGTGATAATTGACAACTATAACATTGTTAGACCTTCTGTAGAAAAACGAGGGAAAAATATGAAGGTTTATTACTGGAAAAGAAAGAAAGTCACTAACTGCACAGCGCTCTGGCAGCCAAGTTAGGGGTATGTAGGATCTGGAATCATTTTTAGGAATGAGATAGCTGGTTAGTTATGCAGCTAGGTATTACTGCAGAATTTTCTGTTTTCTGTTATTCTGTTTTGCAATTTTGGATTTTCTGCTTGTACTGGTTGAAACAGGATGGATGTACATATTGGTTGCTTACTACAGTTTTTCCTACCATAATTTCTGAATCAATCACCTGTCTCTAGAATCCTCTCTAAATTCTCTCTTCTTACCCTCTTGTCATCCTCTCTTCTTACCCTCTCGTCATCCTCTCTTCTCTCATTCTCAACCCTAAACCTCTCTTCTCTTCTTCTCTTTACCTCTCAAAAATTTTGTATTTCTTTCTCATAGATTCACATAAGTCACAGAGGAGTTCAGGTCTGAAGCTCCTAACAAATGTTTGATTGGTTAAACTATTTTATATTGCAAGAGCCACGTGGAAAAGAACTAGAAATTCATTTAGAAACTGGAAGTTCGTTGACGAAGTTGAGTCCATTAGGGCTACCTTTTAATAATCAGAAAACTAGTTTATTAGATGGGTGATGAAATCTGTTCTCTTCCTAAAACATGCCAAAAAAACTCTTCTTATGGTTGTCTCACAAATGAAAAATGGATTCAGATGAAGTAAATAGTATTTTGCTGTAAGAAACAAAGCAATGAATAACTTTAGTTCTCGTCTCATTCATTATTATTTGCCTCGTTTTTTGTAAATAGGTTGGTACCCACTTTTTTTTGGTACCATGCTAATATACTAATACATTTTTATTTCAAAAAAAAATTCGCTTCTTTACGCCAAGGTGAATTTTCTGAAATTATAAAGAACCAAAAATATTTACTAACTACAAGATATTATTGACCAGAGTAGCACCTGTGGAATGACAGTTTTAAGGCCAGCAGAGAGTTGAGATGATATCAGGGGTACATACTAGGATGTAGTCACAATTGTTCTCATTAGAATGCTTTCTATACATTTTATTTGTTATTAGTTCTCAATGTAATGTTGCTTTTTTGAATTTTTTTTTCCATTTTGTCAATCTAAATGAGAATTAATAATTTTAATTGTCAAACTACCTTTTTCTATCTGTAGGGGGAAGCTCAAAAACTTTGATGATAGTTAACATTTGTCCAAAAGTAGCAGATTTGTCTGAGACATTATTGTCTCTTAACTATGCTGCTAGAGCTAGAAATGCTGTATTAAGCCTTGGAAATCGAGATACAATAAAGAAGTGGAGAGATGTTGTAAGTGTCTGTTTTTAGTTTACACGTATACATGCTCTGGACAAATGGGGGATTGGGATTGCCAACCTATAAAGTGTGCTACTTGTAGGCAAATGATGCGCGGAAGGAGCTGCATGAGAAGGAAAAGGAAATCCAAGATCTGAAACAAGAGATTTTGGGACTAAAACAAGCACTTAAAGATGCAAATGATCAAAGTGTCTTACTTTTCAATGAAGTGCAGAAGGCGTGGAAAGTTTCTTCTACAATGCAATCGGATCTAAAGGTTTTGTAACGTTATCTGTTTAGAACTGTTTTCAAAGTCTATAAAGACTTAAGTTACATGGCACTGAACATCATTTTTATCTGAATTCAATGTTTTATCTACAGATAGGTGGATAGGGCACTGTATATTATTACAAGGAAAAAAAAAAAACTTTGGAAGCTTGCCCGTCTAACAGATGGATGTAATGGTGCTTTTGGTTTCATGATTGAGATGTACTTCACTCTGACATTTGTGAATTTGTCATTCAGATCTTGTTTAGTTATGCTTTTCTGAAATTCAACATGTGTGAATGATGTTTGCTGGACTGGGAGATGCGTAAATGATGCTTTGCTAGGCTTAATATTATTTCTTTCAGCATCCTTTTATTTGTTGCTGCTGTTAGTTTGCAGTTCATATAAGTATGCTGCTAAACAATTTTGCTTTTCTTATTTCTGCAGTCCGAGAACCTTATGCTTGCAGACAAGTATAAGATAGAAAAGGAACAAAATGCTCAGCTAAGGAATCAAGTAGCTCAATTGCTACAGTTGGAACAAGAACAAAAAATGCAGATGCAACAACAAGATTCCACAATTCAGACACTGCAGGTTGTTACTGCATTGTCTTGTTATTTCCTTATGTGTCAAATAAATGTCCATAAATATGGAGTTCTTAATTAAAAGCCTAAGGACTATGGTCTTAAAGTAATGAGCAGGTTTTACCATAGATGATGAGGCAGTTCTCAGGTGTTCAAAAATCAAAACCCCTTTACTTGAATTATTTTATTCTTTTGGGTGAGGACCTGATATAACTATTCCCTTTACAGAGGATAAAATATGATGAAGAATGATTGTGCATTAAATTTGTAGTTTAGAAATTTGAATTTATTATTCGGGTCCTAAACACTAATGCATTTGATGACTTTTACAATTGTGGTTTAGTTGGGTAGTTAATGCTTGAAATTGTAAGGTATGCAGCCAATGTCTTTTTCTAACTTCCTAAGCTGTATATGGAGAGTAGTGGAAATTATGGTGTATATGGTGATATCTCAAAACATCCTTCTATATGGTGGCTTGTTATATATCCATCGATAACTTACATGCTTTGCCTTGTTTAAACTTGAAGAATTCATGGACAATTTGGACATATGATTTTTATTTTTTAAAAAAAAGTTTGGATATATGATTTTATTGACTAGTTCACTGTTTCTCAATCTTTTTAACCACTTCAGCAGTGACCTAAATAACAAGGAAATGCAAATAGCTTAAGAAAGTTACACTCACTTTCTTTACTATTCAAGAAAGTTACACTCATCTCGATTTAAAAATTACTTCTTTGCAATTTTACTGTGCAGGCCAAAATTAAAACCATTGAATCACAACTCAATGAAGCCCTTCATTCTAATGATGCTAGACTAGCACTTGCCTCTGAAGCAGCACCTGCCGTTTCACCAGTTCCCAAAACAGCTGGGGATCCTATGGATTCTTCAGCAGTTACCAAGAAACTTGAAGAGGAACTAAAAAAACGTGATGCACTGATTGAGGTTTGAAATGTTTCATTAATAAATATGTTTCCTCATTACGTATTATTTATTTGTTCCAGAACAATGAGAGAAGGATATCATTTCTGCCTTTTTGATAGCTATTAATTATTGTCCCCCCCTCAAACTCCCTAGAAGGCTAGTCGTCTGCTTTCCATGAATTGTCTGTACAAGTCCTGGCTTATCCTCTTCTCATCCAAGGGTGGTTTCTATACGGCATTCTCAAGTATGTAAGTTTCCTGGAACCACGAATTCTGGGAAGCTACGAAAGAATTCGATGTAAATCATTGAGCTGATTAAGGATGCTGAGATTCAGGGTCAGGGAATGTGCTTGCAAGTGCACTCTTAGTAATGTAAACCTTTTACTAATTCATGTTAGGGTGAGAACAATAAAATGCAAATTTCCTTTGGTCATTCTCAGGTGCAGCAGGAGTATGCTAGAAACTTTCCTATTGTTTTGACTGAATGTAATGTAGGACAAATTAGGACTGATTTTGCCTACGGAGGAATTTTGAGCAAACCTAGATATATCACCTGGGTTCTTAGACATCATATCTAAGAGAAAGGTTCGTAAGCTCACATTGAGAATTGATTGCATCACACAACTAGACATCCAGAACATGCTCAGAATAATCAATTTACTGAAGACTTGATCTCAAAAATGAGATTTGCTACCTATTTATAATTTTTTTAACATAAAGTCCTAATATAATTAGAATTACAGAATACTAATAAGAAGCTTAGTACTAAAAGAATTTAAGTTATAACTAAAATCCTAAAATTGAAGACCTAACATCATCCATATTCCTACATTAAATTGTAGATTACATAGAATTACAACTTCTAATCTATTTACAAATTCTAGTTTATATCTATTCTCCATCAAAATGTAATACAAGGAGCAAGAGTGAATTTTCATTATTTTGGGTCCACTATTTTAGGACATAACATCGAATGCTTTGATGATTTCGGCTCTATTGTCAATTGTTTAATAAATCTGTAAAGTTTTTGTAAATGGGCGGTGCCTTCTTGGCACGTTTACTTCAATACAACTTTGTACTTTTATTTCAAAAAAAAAAACTAAGAGCAAGAGTGAATTACAGTGAAAGAATTTGAAGTGGTGAGATGATGCCTAAAGGTCTTTCACATAATTGAAAGTAGGACTCTTGAGGAAGCCAAAAGACCCGGTGTCTGACTGTTTGGTGATTTCAAATTCCTACCTGAGATAATGGGTGCTAGCTCCAGGCATTCTGACTAATTCTTTTGCATGTCTGCTTATTTACTTGTGAAGAAATATTGTTGATTCCTTGTGAAATCAATGAGTTCCCTTATTCACTATGATTTTAGCCTTACACAAATATTGTTTTGTTGCTTGTGCAGAGGTTACATGAAGAAAATGAGAAATTATTTGATAGATTAACCGAAAAAGCATCTTTGGTTGGACCACCCCAGGTAATTATTTTTCAACTCTTAAGTGCATCTCTTGCTACATCGTTGTGATCACATGATTGACCTTTTGGAAACTAGGAATGTCTTTAATTGTGCTAAAACAACTGATAATTTAAGTTCTTTCAGGAACAGATTTAAAATGATGGTATCACATCCTTAGGAAAGCTTTATCAAATAGATTAAGTCTGGACTTTGTGTTTACATCATTTCATACTCTGAAACAATAATTCCCATGATACTGTTCATCATGACATCTCAAAGAAAGTTTATAGATGTTTCAGGTGCTGTACATGATTTGCAATATTCCTGTCACTGCAATTGTATCAACTCTATGTGTATATACTTGGTTAAACTTTTCTTATGAAGCTTCGACTCTTTTTATTTTCCAATTTACTTTTTAGGGTTGCATTGCTCAAATGTGGTAGGTATCTTTTTCAGTGATGTTTTCCCAGATTTTGACCATTGTTTCTTTCTTCAGCTATCGAGTCCCTTGCCTAAAGGTTCAGTGAATGTTCAGTCTCGGGACCTTGTCAGGTTATAATCAGTTTGACAGTGATTATCATGGTTTTATGTCTTATTTTTTCAACTTCAAAGCTTAACTTATTCATGATTGTCCTTCAACAGGACCAATAGTAACAGTAAAGGACATTCTGTGGATGCTGTTCCTTCACTATTGGCCCCGGATAAAACTGAAGGCTCAGTTGCTTTGGTTAAATCAGGTTACGAGAAAATTAAAACCACCCCAGCGGGAGAATATCTGACTGCTGCCCTCAATGACTTCGATCCTGAACAATATGACAGCATTGCTGCCATTGCAGATGGAGCGAACAAACTTTTGATGCTGGTATTAATTGTTGTATCGATTGTTTGATTCAAACGTGAATCCTGGTGCAAGGATGAAGAATTAAATTGTTCTTACCACGTGTTTGTTCCATTTCAAAATTGGAACAGGGTCCTGTTGATTTACCCAACCATTACGAATAGCATTATAAGGAAATGTTTTCTTGTAATTATATATGTACAAAGTAGATCTGAGATTATTTTTTAGACATAATAAAGTTTACACAAAATATTCTTTTTATTTCATTAATGATTACTTTTAAAGGTCTTCTGATAAAATGATCTTTAAATTTTGAATTTCTAAGCAAAAGGTTTTCTTTTTCTCTTTTCTTTCTCATTTTTTGATGGAAACAGGTGAAGTTGCTTTTAAACTTGTAATTATTAACAATATACCTCTTCCAGTTCCCTATCTTTTCTTGGATAGAAAAATAAGAATTGTTCACTGTTCTTGTGCTCTTATTTTTCCATGATGAGTAAATGTATAGATTTCAAATAAATTAAGGTATCTTTGTGTCAGTTGCTTAATAACATTTGGATTAGTTAAAGATGTGCAGTAAACACCAACTTTGCAGGTTTTGGCAGCAGTAATCAAAGCAGGGGCTTCTAGAGAGCATGAAATACTTGCTGAAATTAGAGATGCTGTCTTTTCTTTTATCCGGAAGATGGAGCCAAGGAGGGTGATGGACACCATGCTTGTTTCCCGTGTCAGAATTTTGTATATAAGGTCTTTGCTTGCTAGATCACCAGAGCTTCAATCCATCAAGGTAACGTTAAGTTGTATGGCAGCTATACACTTTTTCTTTTGTTGGGCATATCCTATATAAGCTCTCATATTCTTTTATAAAAGGCTAATCTCTTTGTCATTTTCCAATTTTAGGTTTCCCCTGTTGAATGCTTTTTGGAAAAGGTTAATACTGGTCGAAGTAGAAGCTCCAGCCGGAGTAGCAGCCCTGGAAGATCTCCAGTACACTACGTTGATGATCAAATTCAAGGTTTTAAAATAAATATAAAGCCAGAAAAGAAGTCCAAGTTGGTATCGGTTGTTTCAAAAATACGAGGAATTGAGCAGGTAGATGTTTATTTCCTTTCTTGTGGATAAACATTTGTTATCTGAACCTCAAATCAAAATAAGATAAATGAAGGAAATGGTAATGCCAAACTACCATCAATTTAATAGAATTAAGGGGAGAAGGGGAAGGAGAGACAAACTTCTGCTTTTTTCTATGGATGAGAAGATTGTTACTTTAGGCATTGTCTCTTCCTTGCTTTATGATTGTTCTCTTATACTGCTGGCTTTTGTTCTTACTGTCATCAGTACCTCTACATTCACTATTAATTCTATGTTGGAGAGCTGATCTTCCCTGTGAAAATTCATCAAACGTTCCCAGTCTTCTATGGAGATATTTAAGATAGATTTTTGATCCATTTTCCAGGATACTGGGAGGCAGCAAGTTACTGGTGGAAAGCTAAGGGAAATACAAGATGAAGCAAAAAGTTTTGCTATTGCGAACAAGGCCCTTGCTGCACTCTTTGTCCATACTCCAGCAGGCGAGCTCCAGCGGCAAATTAGGACCTGGCTTGCAGAAAACTTCGAATTTCTTTCTGTTACAGGAGATGAGGCTTCTGGGGGAACCACTGGACAGTTGGAGCTACTCTCTACTGCCATAATGGATGGCTGGATGGCTGGACTTGGTGCTGCACTGCCTCCTAATACTGATGCTCTTGGCCAGCTTTTATCTGAGTATGCAAAGCGGGTCTACAGTTCCCAATTGCAGCACCTAAAGGTACGCCTAATAATAATCTGAACCTACTTTTATGTAGCAATTCTGAATGAAGACGATGGGATAGGTTCACACACAAGAGCCTGGTGAGCAAACTTATGACTAACATGGGTTTAAGGGCATAGTACATTTGTGACTAGACTTAGAAAATCAATATGGGAATGCTGATGTGTTATTTTGTTATTAGAAAATTGCAAGTTGTCCACTGTTGAGAAGATGTCTTTGAACTAACATTTGAGACTTTTTGTCAGGATATTGCTGGTACCTTAGCAACAGAAGAGGCAGAAGATGCAGGACAAGTAGCAAAGCTGCGATCAGCTCTCGAGTCTGTTGATCACAAAAGGAGAAAGGTTATTATTATAATTATTCAACCCCCTAATTTTGGATGTGTTTTCATATCCTGTAATAGAAGTTTCTTTGCTGCCATAGTGTTGTCTGCCAAATTTATCCTTACATTATTACACATGTTTCACTTTTTGATTACAAAAAATTGTTTTGGCATATTATGAGTTTTTTTTGTTGTTATTACTTATTAGATTTTGCAACAAATGAGGAGTGATGTAGCTTTACTTATATCTGAAGATGGGGTTGCACCTATTAGGAATCCTTCTACTGCATCTGAAGATGCGCGATTAGCATCTCTGATTTCTCTTGATGGCATACTGAAGCAAATCAAGGTATTTATTTCTGGATGCTGTGTTTGTCACTTGATGCTTTGCTGGTGGCTTGAGTACTGAGGAGTATAATGTTTTCTCAAACAGGATATTTTGAGACAGTCCTCCACAAACACCTTAAGTAAAAGTAAGAAGAAAGCAATGCTTACCTCCTTGGATGAACTTGCTGAACGAATGCCTTCCCTTCTTAACATCGATCATCCATGTGCTCAGAGGCAAATTGCTGAGGCTCGTCATGCAATTGAGGTATTCGTTATTCAATGTTTTAGACTGGATTTCTTTTTGGAGTTTGTTGATAGGCTTATTTTGCTAGGAAATGGAACAAGCAAATTATTTAGATAATTTTTTATCCGGAATTTTTTTATGGCCCCATGGGACTGCATGCATTTCGAACTCATACACTCTTGGGAAAGAGGGAGGAATGTAACCATCCTACCCAAGGTGATGGGGCGAAGACTTTATTTGTTATTTACTGTCAAAATGCCCTTATCTTTTGGATTACGAAGTTGGTTTGTTGTGTCCCTAAGCAAAAGTTTCTTGAATCTCTTGATTATAAAACCTTTTTTTTTTTTTTTTTTCAATGATTGTTGAGTACGAGGGACTGTAGTGCTATAAAAATTATGAGGAAAAATGACACCAGGCTTATATGTTCTTGTAAGTTGGCATCGCTTTGGTCAATTGGCTGGGAAAACAAATCAACAGTTTTGTTGTTAAAGGAAATGGCTTTATACTTTCTGATTGGAATTACCTCTTTTCCTATGTTTACAATTTGCCACGCGTTTGCTGCAGTCGGTTCCTGAAGAAGATGATCACATTCTAGAAGCATCACATGCTCGCAAACCATCTGCAGATTTAGCATCTGCTGCAGAAACTGACGTGACACAGTGGAACGTTCTTCAGTTCAACACTGGCTCAACAACTCCATTTATCATCAAATGTGGGGCAAACTCAAATTCAGAACTGGTTATTAAAGCAGACGCCCGAGTTCAGGAACCGAAAGGTGGAGAGATCGTGAGAGTTGTTCCAAGACCATCGATATTAGAGAATATGAACTTAGAGGAAATGAAACAAATATTTTCTCAGCTCCCCGAGGCTCTAAGCTTGCTTGCCTTAGCAAGGACTGCAGATGGTACTCGAGCTCGGTATTCTAGACTGTACAGGACTCTGGCTATGAAGGTTCCTTCGCTGAGAGATTTAGTTGGCGAGCTCGAAAAAGGTGGAGTGCTGAAAGATGTGAAACCATGAAAGTTCAGCAGTGATAAATTATCATCATGTCTTTTGATGTTGTATGTATGCTTTTTTTACCTTTACTTTGTTCTTGTTCTCTTGAGGAATTTGGTGGAGCTGTGTAGCGTGTAGCCTTCTCTTTTTGCCTTCTGTTCTCCCTCTGCTTTGTTCGGCAAAGCAATTCTTGTATTTTGTAGCTGTAACCTGTGTTATTATCCTGCATAGTAGTATTACACGCGGCCTCAGCGAAGGATGTTGATGTGATATTTATAGTAATCGTGTAATTTATCTGTCTTATCTTCTTTGTTATTTGCTATGCTATGTCCTTTTTTAATTCATCTGGGACCTGTTCCCATTTCTGCAATTCCACTGGTGTGCTGCAAATCATTTTTACCTTATCATGCATCTCTCTCTCTCATATTTTTGGATGAAAACATATTATTTCTTTGGGAGAGTTGGATAATGTGATCTTACTATATATATATATATATATTAAATCTAGTCAAAGCTCAGGCAAATAATTTTAAATTTCTAAAATAAATTTTACAAATGGTCTTCATTTATGCCACATAAAGCCCAATAATTTTTTTAAATTGACCTTAAAAGTCAGATTCTAAGAGAAAAAATTTAATTTCAAAAGAGTTCTGTATATTCCCGTTGCCGGAGTTATTCAGGCCGATCAATAATTTAAAAAAAAAAAATTTCCGTTGCCGGGACTTGAACCCGGGTCTCTCGGGTGAGAGCCGAGTATCCTAACCGACTACAACGGATGAGCTGATGTAATTCTATCTTAAAATAATATAATAGTGTAGGACGAGGAGTTCGAATTCCCGTCGGCCTGGAAGCTCTCTTCCTTTCTTCGTTGTCTTCGCTGAGATCCAGGAAAGCAGCCACACGGCTTGGCGTTTGGGATTATCAGTTCATTTCCTCTCGATATCTCGAAAATGTCTTCGATTACATGCGAAAGGTTGACGTTATTCACCATAACTGGAGTCATCATTCAGATTATTGGGCTTTGTCTCTTCGTCTTCGGTTTCTTCCCCGTCAAGCCTGCTCTCTCCGGCGTTAGGTGCTCCTTCTATTCACCTCCTCTGTTTATTCCCAAAGGAAATCTAGCCACTATTTTTATCATTCGCTTTGTTTGCTGCTCGAAGCACGCCGCTTAGTTGCTTGGTTTTGTTTGCTGAAATAATTAAACAAGTGGATACAAACAGAATGAAATTTGGAATGAATTAAGCATGATTTGTTATTGGTTCTGGCTTTTCAACTTATTCTTTCTCTCCCTGGATATTGAGTCTGTTATAGTTAGTATTTATCTAATCGGTTTGATTTTTTGTACTCGTTTTTTTCTCATTTCTCGCGGTTATTTTAGTGGTCCAGAGAGTTTTCATTCTCCATTTTTGGATTCTATTGAGAACCAAAACGAGACAGCCCTGCCTCCTGAACAACTGAAATCGCTATATCAGGTTCATCTCTATGTCATTCCATATCTACTTATTTCATAGTAAACCTGGTTCTGCCTGCTATACTTTTTACTTTGTTGCTTAGTTTAATCAACTATTCAGTTAGCAATCAAAATGTGCTTTTTTTTAATTCTGTTTTCTCGACTGGGCATTTACTCGGGCATTTTTCATTATAGGAATTATCGGGGATCTTGCCTCCATTTGATCGTTTAGTTTTAATGGTATGTGATGTTTTATTACTATAAAAACGTATTTCAAATATCTTTGCTCCGGCAAATTATATTATGTAAAGGGTAAGTTTGAGCGTATTGCAACAATGTCAGTTTAGGTTATTGATGGTCTTCCAGCAGAATTTGTCCTCGGCAAGGATGGTCAGCCTCCAAAAGAGGCTTTCAGGGATTCTATGCCTTATACTCAGTCACTATTAGCAAATGGAGTGGCAGTTGGATACCATGCAAAGGCAGCACCTCCAACTGTTACGATGCCTCGCTTGAAGGTTGGTGTCACTGCCACTTTCTGGGATATACGGGGAAACATATATGGTTTCTGGAAATATGGGACTTCTCTCACTCTGTCAGCTGCATAATTGTAGGCAATGGTTTCTGGAGCTATTGGGGGTTTCTTGGATGTGGCTTTCAACTTTAACACACAAGCTCTGTTAGATGATAATCTTCTTGGTTAGTTGACTATAAAGTCATAAAAAGTTGTTGAGTTTGTAAATTGATTGTGTGATGAATCTTTCAAGAAATGCAGTTCATTTATTCATATTGTGGTTTAGACCAGTTCTTTAGGGTTGGTTGGCAGATGGTGATGCTTGGTGACGACACATGGCTTAAATTGTTCCCAGGATTATTCAAGAGGCATGATGGTGTTAACAGTTTCTATGTAAGTGCTTTGGTAGTTGGTGTTTGAATATATTGCTTTTCCAGTTATTATTTTTTGTCATACTTTAACGTTTCTTGGATTTTCATTTCTTAACATTGTTAGAGAAAAGCATGAATTCAGGTTGAGAATTCTTCACAAGTTCCTCTTCCTATGCCATTTGATATACAGATGAAATGGGGATCTTTTTTTCTTTATTTTTAATAAACATTATCCTATATCATTTACATGGTCTTTTTACCTGCAATCTGGTTGAACATTTTCCAATCACAATATTGGATGTTTTTTTGCTTTGTTTTGTAGGTGTTTATAAGCAATTTTAAGAGTCTGTTCAAATTTAGTTGTTTCTTAATGTAATAAACATAGGGCTTGCTTTGGCTGTTAACTTCTCTACTCAATTTTGCTTATTCAGCTTCAGCTTCAAAAGACACTGTAAAACTTACATCAAATAAGTTATTTTCTTAAATGACTAAATAGACTTAGACAAAAAAGTCTTCTTACACTAAATAGCCCCAGCGTTAGTTGCAAAAATTGCAGAAGTTCCATTTACACAAATTTTACGTTACTACCTACAAACAACTTTTAAGTATTAAGAATAATCGTCCCTCCCCTTTTTTGTATTGACACAGTGAGTTGAGAGTAACTATTTTCTTAATATGTTCAGTTGCTTATTTATCTTTATAGATTTATTTTTGCAAGAAAATAAATTAAATATGTTTTTAATGAAAAACATCTTTATTCAAATACATGACCACTTATTTTCTGAAATCATACACGGGTACTTTAAATAATAAATACTTTCAACACATTTCTTTCGGTAAAACCAAACGCTCTCTGAATGCAGTTAAAACATTTGAAATAAATTATAAGAGTGATTATTTGAAGAATAAAGAGCAATGGCTGTTATCAAGGGGTGATTTCTGAGTGTTGGGTTCAGTGGTTGGAGCAAAATGCAGGATTTTCAGCCAATGTGAGAGAGGCAGATTTACATGGCCCCTTATGGGCTAAGGCACATTTTTTTCAGTCTAGTAGGTGGATATCTTATACTCATTTCTTTTACTCTTTTAGAACATCTTTTTTTCCCCCTTTATGACAGATACTTAGGATTTGCTGGATAGAAAATGTTAGTGACATAATATTTCTCGTTCTTTTCCCCTCTGCATTTTCTTTGTCATGTTGAAGGTATGAGAGTTCTGCAGTATATAGTAAATCCTGCAAATGCTAATTTTATTCTTGCTATAGGTTAAAGATACTGTACAAGTAGATCAAAATGTTTCTCGACATTTGGCTGATGAACTTCTCAGAGATGACTGGAATCTTTTGGTAAGTTGTAACTCTGGTCATTACTTGTCCTCCCATGCTTCTAGATCCTTCCACCACTTACCTTTTCCTTTGCCTTGAACTTTTTGTTACACAGAAGTCAGATATGGAAGTTCTTCTGTTAAGATTGTTTTTGTTGTATTAACCTAGTGGTGTATGTGAGCCTAACCTTTATGGGCATGTGGTGGTCAGTACTTTCTATGTGAGTTTTGGACTATGCACATTAGTGAACTCCTCTATGTAAACATGAGATTATCCAACTTCAACTGAATTTTTATTTTTGAAGTCATGATTGATCATGAAGCTAATAATTTTAAAGTACTGTTCTTGGAGGCTGCTGTCTCTTCTGCTGTTACATGATTATCATTGAGCTACCTTTTTCAGATTCTTCATTATCTAGGCTTGGACCATGTTGGGCATATAGGTGGGCGGAACAGGTATTGTGTCAGCTGGTTATTCTGATAGGCTTTACTGATTATGTATTCAATTAACGTGGTTTTGACAATAATTTTTTATTCATCTACTTCAGTAATTTGATGGCTCCAAAACTTAAAGAGATGGATGAAGTGGTGCGGATGATTCATTTGCACGCAATTCAGGCTCATGAGGGTGATAAAGGACAGAAAGGACATACTCTATTGGTTTGTGCTACATCTTTTTAGGTCTTTTGATTACTTGTGCCAATCTAGCCGTCCATTCAGATTGAGTCCATACCTACAGTTTCAGGAGTTGGAACATCTTGTATAACTAATAATTGGTAGGTAGTCCGCGATTCAAAATAGACCTCACACTTTTTCCTGTAATTGTCCAGAAGGCATATAAATTTGATAAAGTAAGGGTTATATATTAATGATATAGTTTCAAATAACCTGCCAAACTATTGGAAAGAAAACAATAATAGTAGGTATGGCTGGACGAATGTTGACGATGGAACTGTGTCGTCGCGTAGGGTGACTTTGTATATACATGTGGAGCTTCAATTTTATCCTTTTCTCCTTCTTCTTTAGGAGCATAGAGTATATTGTTACAGTGGCATATGTTTCTTCTCCAGGCTTGTCTGCAATTACCATAATACTAAGAAGAATTTTCTCTTACCTAACTTTCTTTCTCCTTCAATGGTATGTAGAGTCAAAATACACAAGCATCTGTGTAATGTAGGTAACTTTTTCCAGTCTATGTGTTCTGTACCGCAATAAATGAATATATGAAATTCCTGGAGTCATTTTTACATAGTCAATACTTCAGATTCCTGCATGGGTTGCATGATATTAGTTTTCCACCGTTCTTGTGATTTAAACCATTGTATTATTAATTAAGTCTGTCTAAGAGATTGAATTTACTGAATCATCTATATCTGTTATGAATTTTACATGTAGATGGTAGTCAGTGATCATGGCATGACTGACAATGGCAACCATGGGGGATCTTCATATGAAGAAACTGATTCCTTAGTCCTTCTGATTGGTTTGGAAAATCTTGTATCTGATCATTCAACAGCTACCGATAATGCAGTTTACCAGGTAATATAAGTAGTAATATAATTGCCATGTTCAATTGTTGTTTTTTCTCTGTGTTTCCTTAAACCGTAGCATAAAGATAAAAGTTTTTAACTCGTTTAAATTGGCGTGTATTGAATATTAGAGCAGATGTATTCATCACAATGTATATAGAATTGCTTATATAAAGAATAGATATATTTTCCTTTGATTAAATGAAGTCCTACTCCATTTGTTTGTTTTGTTGTTTATCTTAATAAAAGGAGAATATAAAAGAAAAAAAAAAGAGAATGTATGTAACATCGCATTGTAGAAAATGTTGGAAAATCTCTCGATCATTTGACTTAATATGGTATTATACTTAGATGTAAAATTTTTTTAATCCAGGTAGATATTGCGCCAACATTAGCTCTTCTCTTTGGGGTGCCAATCCCAAAAAACAACGTTGGTGTTCTTATTTCTAAAACCCTTGATTCCCTGAAAGGTCAGATCTCTCTCTCTCTAAAATACAGCTGATTTTAGAGTAGAAGTGGAACAGAAAACATGAAAAAGAGGTAAAAAGAAATACCAGCAAGCAGAATGTTTGAAAGCAATAGTAGCAGTGGATTATTTACACCCTCTTTTATTTACTTTTTTCTTCTTATAAAAAATGTAGTACGATTGTGGTTGTTAATTTTTTCTCATAGGGAGCTGTGGTTGTTAATTTTTTCTCCTGTTGATTACTCCAGATGAGCAACAATTGAGAGCATTGGAATTGAATTCTTGGCAGTTGTTCAGATTGCTGCAAGCACAAATACCAGGTTTATCATATGGAGAATTCAAATGCAGTGGCTTTACTGATGGGCAAGACCACGTCGTTAGTACATGCAATGGAAGGATGGAGGCACAGTTTTGTTGCTTATATAAGAGAGCTGCTTTTCTTCATAGCTCCTGGAAATCTAAGAAATCCTCCAAGTGGGTTACTTGTCGTTGACATTAACAGCAATGATCATCATGAAGTTCAACATGGCTAACACCAAATATTGCTTTGTGAAAATAGGTCAAATACCAAAGAAGAATACAGCAGTGCTGTGGCTGCATACTATGAGTTTCTGAAAACTTCAAGCGAGTGGTTATCACGGAAAACCACAGATGTATGTATATGCTTTCCTTGAATGTCCTGGCTTGATCAAAATCTTACTCATGAAAAGGCAAAGAATGATAGGTCCTTGTAAATTCACGAGGAATGCTATTGAGATGTATTCCTTGGTAATTATTAGCCTTATCTTCGACTATCCTGTTATTTTGCAGAAGCCAGTTCACCTGCTAGCTTTTGGAGTCGCCACAATGTTCCTATCATGTTTGATATTGTTGAGCGAAATACATTGGCTACGGAGAGAAGTCTATCTCCATCAAAGGCAACAAGTTCCTAGTTTACATGGTTTAGGCAGAAGCAATTTGGAAGAGAGGTTTATTTTGGGTGTAATATTCTTTCTTGTTATAAGTATGGGATCAAGTTCGATGGTTGAGGAAGAACATTATATTTGGCATTTTTTTATCTTAACATTTTTTCTGTTATTGCTTCGTAAGACATCAACACCACTTGTCTTTTTCAAAAGGCAAAATGGAGGAACAGATATTTGGATTTCTTCTGTCTTTGTGCTTCTTATCTCTGGAAGAATACTCAGAGGATGGCATCAAGGTGGTGTAAACTGGACTAATCTTCCTGACATCTCTAAATGGCTTGAACAGTCTGGAAGTGGTCATATAAAATTGATTCAGCTGGTGTCAGTTTTTCTGGTGACTTGTTTAGGCTTGTTTCCTCTACTTTTAGTTGGATCAAAGAGATTTCTTATTCAGGTGGTTGGATTTAGCTTTTTGATTTCCGGATTTCTGGTTTTCCTGCATGTCTTGAAAAATCAATATGACATGTTTGCATCATCTTATTATGATTCTAACTTATCGGTGCAAATAGTGTACGCATCTCTGGGGCTGGCCACATTTGGGACTTTTGTAGTCTTCCCATGGCTCATTCCTTCCTCAAGTTCTAGGGATTTCCCGGGTAACGTTTCAATCTCTGTTGACATTCAAAACAATTTCCCGTGGGTGGAATTAAGGAATTCCTTGTATGTGATTGGGAGCGCATACATATTAAGTTGGTGTCTTCTGCAGCTGGTGCTCCAACAACCAGTTAATTCAGTTCCAATTTTGTTGCTGCTTGTGCAGTTATTAGCAATCATGCTTTGTTTTTCTCATGGCAGGTTGCATCTTGCAGAATGGGTTGAGGTCAGTCACCTGTTATCACTAAAGTTTCAGTTCCCTCATGGATATGTCTGCATATTTCTCTTTACACGTGTATATTTAAGTTTATGTCAAGATTCATATATGAGAATTGAGTGGTGGTGTGGAATTTTCTAGTATTTCTGGTGTAGAGAGTCTTCAAGGCTTTTGATTCATGATCAAACTCTTTTAGATATCATCTGATAGTCACAATCGGATTCCTGAAAAGAGTGCCCAGTTATTTTTTAAATTTGTTTTTTTTCTTTTGTGTTCTATATTTCTGTTTGGTCTTATCAGATATCTGAAAGATAAAATAGCCTATGGTTTGTTGATTGGTTGGCGGGTTCTAACGGCAACATGTTGAAATTTGTCCTCAAGAAAGTAGCTAGAATGTAACTACATGCTTCATGAATGTGTACTTCTGCTTTCCTTGGACTGATTGCATTTCATGTTCTAACATTGGACAACTTTCTCTGTCTCCTTAGGTTGCCACGTTGTACTTTTTGGGAATGGCAGGTCATTTTGCTCTTGGAAACAGCAATACCCTAGCTACTATTGATGTTGCTGCTGCTTTTATTGTACATACTCTTCCTTAATTATCTGGAGTCTTTTTCCTTGAATGTTTTCATTGCACCAGCAACGATATTTGCGCTCCTTGTGTGAAACATTGAATAGCTAACTCCCTTGACTTTTGTTTTTCATTTCCAGGGAATCTCTAGTCATTCAACATTGCTTTCTGGCATTTTAATGTTCATGATCACCTATGCATCCCCTATGTTAATTCTTCTTAGCTTGGTGATGTACGTCTCTGTGAAGGATACGGGCTCTTTGCCAATTCCTCAGTATTCAGATTCAGGATTTCATCTCAAAATGATGCTTGCCTTTCCTTGCTTGGTTCCACTAGGCATAAATTCAGTTGTACTGACTGCATATACACTGGTTTTGCTGTTAATGAGGAACCATTTATTTGTTTGGAGTGTCTTTTCTCCCAAGTAAGCCTCACTGAACTGAAAATTGTCTGTAGATGATTAATTGTGTGTAAGACACTAACTGAAATTGATCTTAGCAGCATGGAGCATGAGTTTTTTTTTTCCGCTATTAGTGTGGAACAAGTTATCCCTCGGTTAATATATATATATATGTAATGTATGTATGCACATGTATTTATTCTGTTTTGGTTATTCATTAAACTTTAGGCTGTTTGGAATAAATCAAGAATTTTTGAATTCACTTGGAAATCTACATGTAGTTTGACTAAATTGGATTTTCAAGTAATAATACATTTCTTCAAATTTTAGTGGACTTTATATTTTACTGTTGCAATTCTATTTGGATTTCACTATGAGCTCAAATGAGCTCAATTCTGATAATTTTAGATGAAGATTTCCCCATCTTCTAGTTAAATTAGTTTGTGAATTTCTAAATGAACTCCAAAAAATTCTTGATTTTCATGATGGAGTTGTGTGAGAGAGTATTAGCAGTAACGTTGATTCATCGTGAAACTAACCATTCTGATTTGCATTCGTCCTACAGGTACCTATATGTCTGTGCAACAACTGTGTGCACCTATATAGGAGTATGTGTTGTTGCTGCAACTGGAATGTATACGTATCTGGTGCTGGCTATACGAAGAAAAAGACAGGTTTCTTTACTTGATAGAATGAGATAATATGTTGCATGCCAGAAGATGTTGATTTTCTTCTTTTGCACAAACTAATAGGGTAGAACATAATCTTTTATGCATTTTGATCAATTCATTTGAAGATCTCTATGCCAGTTCAAGTATCTGATAATATGGGGATGAAATTGTCGGTCATCTTTCAGCCAATTGTTTATTTGATGGATGATTAACACTTCATCTAATTAATGGCATGGAAAATCAAGGCAAGTCCATTATTATTCTCTTCTCTAATGTTGTATGCGTGAGGAAAATAGTTCAGTTACTATTTAAATGGATGAGTTAGATATACCTGTTCTATTTCATGATATATTTGATGAATATGTATCATAATTTTTGAAATTCCAGAGGAATTTATTTTTCTCTTATCTTGAATATTTGCATGCCTTAAAGAAATATTATTTCTTTTTTGGTGATAGGTAAAATGTTTGCTTGGTGAAACTTGGAAAACTTCGATATCTTAAAAGAGGAAAAAAGGGCTTAATTCAAGTTCGTATTGCTCTAGGTCTACCTGAAAAGCTTAATCTAGTGGCCGTCTATCCGTGCTGCGCTCTAGTAGGGCAGTAGGACTCAAGTTTGAGCGTTACAAACTCCTCAGAGAGTCAATAAAAGATATTACCCTTAAATCTCACTATATATTTCTTCACCATGTAGATATCTGATCTAAATACGTTCCTAAACTTGAAATAACAAGCCTCAATCAAAAGAGATTCCCTAGTCCAAGCTCAAAAAAGATCTTCTTGCAATGGAAACCTTATAATAACATGTCTTGAATTGAATGACCTAATAGGACCTTCTCTGTTCATCATCCATCAGGCGCAGACACAGGGTCTCATCTTATGCATAGATCGGATTGCCTGAGGATTAACTTGGATACTAAAAAAAAGGTGTCATAGACCTACTGATCTGTGAATCTCATCATAAGCGAACCGCAAACCAGTCCTTCCTTGATGAGAAATGGGGCATTTTACAAGAAGGGGCTACGTCGTACCTAAATTACCGAATGATTAATCAACATATTGTCGTTTCATGAACCTGCACGAGTGAAACTTCCATGCTTTATAGTTTGTTGCTAACTTTTATACTGTCTGGAGATTTGAGGGATGGTTCAAGTGTGTTGTACAGCCACTGAGCTGCAGTATGTGTTGCTACTGAAAAACTTGTTTGTTTAAATTAAATTCAAGGTATTTTGCCAGGAGGAAAGGAGGGGAGACTCTGGATTTTGGCTTTTGCTTTGTTTGTGGGTGATTTGGTTGGGGAGGAATGGTATGACTCTGCTTTGGGATGGAATTACTGGTTAAACAGGAATTAAATTAAATTTAAAGATGGAATTTTTTTATTCATTTTTTAACAAAAATTACTTGAGAAATTGTATGATTACAGATTAAATTTCATAAATAGTTAGTAGAATTTAATTAAAATTAAAATATATTATTTTAATGTTAAGGCTGCTCCTAAAATGTTGGTCCAATAAGATATTTGGTTATATTAAAAGTATTAAGAAAACATTATAATTTCATTAATTTTAAAATATATTAATTTTTGTTAAATTAAATTTAATTATTAATTAGAATTAGAATGCAATTTATTTTTTCAGAAGATTTAAAAATTTGATTCGGAATTAAACTGAGAATTGTACACAGTGTGCTTTTAACCCTCTGTTTGGATCACAGTAGAATTTTAATGTATGATACTTTACGGTCGTGAGAAAATCGTACTTGTTTCAACTTCCAATAATAACAAATGATATTTGACTGATAAATTTTAAGATGAATTTTTAAACTATCGAATTGGTGGTATTTGACCGACATACTATTTGTTTTCCATTATACCCTTATCTAATTTAATTAATTATATATTTATCATA